ACTCGGTGCTTGGAGGCGAAATCCCGGAACGCCCGAACAAATACCCCGAGTCGCCCACGCACATCACCCCTGAAGCTAACCGGATCCACCGGTGTGGTGACCAGCGTATCCCACGGGGCAGCACTTGTCAGTTCTTCCACGAGAGGTCCAGAGTTTACTGGAAAAGAATTTCAAGAGCTCTTGCTGAGCTACGGTATCACGGCGAAGCCTATTACCGTTAAGAACCCACAAGCCAATGCCATCTGCGAACGAGTTCATTTGGAGCTACTAAATATCGTTCGGTGCTACGAGAATGTGGACTGGAAGAAGGCGTTAAACTACGCGGCATTTGCAGTGCGTGCCAGTTACCACAGTATTCTGAATGCGTCACCCGGACAACTCGTCTTCGGCCAAGACATGATATCTCGCCAATTGCATCAAGCGAACTGGAGCTATCTGTCCAAGAGAAGGTTCGAGGCGATCCTCGCTGACAACGATCGCGAGAACGACAAGCGCATCGAGCACTTCTACAATCCAGGAGACAATGTCATGCTTCGGATCCCGAAAGCTTTTCGATCCAAGACGCGAGCTGTTGCACACGGCCCGTATACCATCAAGCTAGTGCACACCAACGGCACGGTCACCATCGACAAAGGTGCAACGACGCAGCAAGTCAGCATCCGCCGCATCTTTCCTTGTTAAACCGCACAGGTTCATGGGGGGAGTATGACATGACTGCCTGCCTGATATGGATGAATCCTGTGGCGAAGGACAAGGATAAGAACTCGAGAAGGTGCAACAAGTTTCTCGAGAAGAAGAACATTTCAAACGTTTGAACAGTTTGAATGTTTGAACGTAGCAGTAGTTTAAACAGAGAGAGCCTTGCCGCTCATCCATAATTTAATTCACTTTCAAATCTTCCAACTCAAGCTCAAGTCGACCCACACAAGCGACCCTCTGCCAGCCAAGGCCGCTACACACGTCCAAGTCGACTCAAGCCCGATCCGCGTGCCCTCTGCTAGCCAAGGCGCGTCAGAGTTCCCGTACTGCGATAGTGAGTACGAGAACCAAGTATACTACAACTACACTGCCGTTCACGGCGCGTAACTGTGCATGATGGAAGTCGTACCGGTAGCTGTAGCACCGTACATGTACATGTAGCATACTTTTCGAAGCAGTTCGTACTCTTGAAGTTTGTTTTGCTGCACGCGTACTACGCGGCGTAGCTGCGAGGTTAAGCTGTCAGAATGATTCTACATCTACGTTAGGTGTAGACGTAGCCTACCGCGGTGCAAGTACCGCCAAGACTGCAGAGCGTTACCACCACGAAAGATCAAAGCCAGAATTATTGCGCAGAACTGATGAGATAGATCGTGCTGGGTTATGCATACCATTAAAATGACAAACTTACTAGACCACTGTACTCGCTGAAAATGTAAAACACCATATCGCCATGGATCACGATTAGCACGTAGCCTCGCTAGTCGTCGATAAGCTCATCAATAAAAGTGTCGCTGCCAGAATCGGGGTTAGATTCTGGTACGGTTGCGCTGGTTGGATACACGAATACCGGCCGCTTCGAAGGCGGGAACAGTGTTAACAGTGCGTCGACGGTACTGGAGACAAAAAATATGGAGCAGAAAATTTAGTAACACAGCGGCAACAGAACAAACTCAACCAAGCGCAAAAGCGTACCCGCCAGATATCTCCACGTATTCTGGATGCTGGTACATAAGCAGACTCCGCACGAGGCGGACAAAGTCTGCCAATGAGAGGGCGGAGGCGATAGCGAGATTGGTATGGAGCGCGACCATGTTGTCATCGATTCCCGTCGTAAGCTCCTCATCCAGCGACTTCAGGGGCTTTACGCCGTATTTTGCTGCAGTCGTCGCCACTTCTTTCGCGGTCTCCGTCCTACAATACGCACTAAGTGTCTCCAAATTGGTCATGTATTTGTTGTGTGTCGCAGTCATCCGCTCGCGTACAGCATTTTCGTTTGATTCTAGACTAGCTGCAGTTGGACACAGTGGAGAAGTGTGCAAAGGTACGCCGAAGACCCTCCCACGTCAGAGGTCGACGAACTCCGGTGCGAGTCCGCCGAAGTGGGTCTCAATATGGGTCTTGGCTTCTGGAGAAAGTGACTTGGGCCGAAAATGTGCGCGGTACTTGGAAAAGCACTTTGCTGGGACACCGTTTCCATTGCACCCAGTTTTTGACAGGTACTTGAGGCACAGCTCGAGCAATCCTTGCTTCGGCAAAGTGCGCGCCAGGCTCTTGGGTACTCCACTACTTTCTTTGGTCGACCGAGACTATCGCGGTCGGCTATGCATCGAAGTGGTCGCGTGTTGTTGCGCTTTCAGCATAGCCTCCAGCTCGATCACTTTTTTTTTGTAGATCATAGAGCAGTTCCGTTAGTAGCGAGTCGTGAAGGGAGAGCTCGTCTTTGACTAGGATTGCTACCGCCAGGCCGTCAGAGATGACCAGACCACGAAACTTGCTCACCTTCATATTGATCCATAGCAGCAGGCGCTTCGTTGTTTCTCTGTCCGGTTCATTTTCGTCAGTAAAATCCTCAATAAACTTGACAGCAGCATTCAGAACGTCCATAGTGTCTGCGTTGTAAAACTTCCTTCCGAATCGACGGAGATTAGTAAGTGCATCCATGAACACTGTCTACGAAGGGTCGGTTGTGGCTGATTGGAGGCCGTTCTTCCTGGAAAAATCTGTCATATTGATCACGGAACCGGACGCATCCAGCGGTGTCGCTCGCCGTACGCGCTCAAAGTGCATGACGGAGAGGCCGCGAACATGAAATCCGAAATCAAATGCCCCGCGTAAAACGGGCGAAGCCTCTCGGATGCGAGATTCACGGGCCTGCGTACATTCAAGAATACATTGAGCGTCCTTACCTTGGTTGTCGGTGTGGCCAATGACGTTGTAGATCTGCTGCTTAAGTGTCGTTGGGCGAAACGTCGTGGCCGAGCGCTTACGTGCCTCCTCCATTGCCAACATTGATGCTGTCCCGCCTCCGTTAGTGACGGTACCACCGGCGGGCACCGCATCGTGGGTCAATGAACGGTTCTTCTGCAGCACGGCGAGTACGTCGGCATCGTCTTCATCACCTGCTTCCGACGACGTCGACACGCCCATGGGCGTCTCTCCTAGCTCCGTAGCGTCTGCACTTGCCTGGGCCGCCAGCGTCCTGCGTCGCGTGACTGGCCGCTTGTCTTGTACGTCCACGTCTGAGGATTTGCGCTTTTGCGCGACATTTGAGCCTGTACCGGCAGGGGGTTCGAGCATACTGGCACCTTTTTTACTCTTTTTGCTACGCGCACAATCCAGAACGTGTTGTCGTGGGACAGACACGACAGCCAGCGTGTCAGCTCGTATGACAGGTACCAGGGCGTCTCCCTCAAACGGAATAGTTAGCGTTTTGGCGAGCTTTGGCGGCAGAGCTCCACGGCTCTTCCCCCACTGAGCGCACGCTTCGTCCATCAGTACTAGAAGCTCTTCCGCGTTGGTGGCGGAGGCGTTGCTTCCCGCTCCGGTCTGCAGAACGTAGTTGGTCCAGTCCACCTTGATGACATTAGGCGGCTGCTCTAACTTGATTTGCTTTGCATCGTCTTTGCACCGAATGTGAAGCCACGGCTGGTGCTTGAACATGTGATATCCGGTGACGAGACCGACTGTCCATTCATCCATGCCGATACCATCGGGCTGGATAAAGGCGATCGGATGTCCGACGAACATGCCGGGCCAGAGACCACTCTCCTCATCGGTGACCTGGCGGCGCCGCAGTACTGACACCTCCACTTCATCATCAACATTTTCATCGTCGTCAAGCCTAACGATGGCTACTGTTGCCTTGGATCCGTCCACACTCAGCACTCGTCCGTAGCGAAACTCGGTAAGCGAGGGTAGTTGCGCTGGCCCAAGGAAGGCGAGCGATCCAGGCGAGATAGCAGGTTGCGTCATGATTCCGAGCAGGCGGGTTAGCTTCGAGCGAGAAAGTCTTCGAGTGAGGAAGTCCCCATTCGATCGCCTGCATAGTCTATGTCAGTCTATCACTAGTCTTTGGTGTTTTTCCTCTTGTCGCTCGAAGCAGAGACTTGCTGATTGAAAACCTCAATATCCATCTAGGATATTTCCCATTTCATCGGTTTTGAATATGGGACCCTGGGGTCCCGCCAATGCGTTCATTTGGCGCAGTGCATCGTTGTATGCGATCCATGAGATGGATTGCGAATTGCAGCGCGTTTAAACAGCTCCCGCATTTCTAGCAACCAAAGCTCTGGCATATCTAAACAGTAATTTCTAACGTTAAAAATTGATCGAGTTAACCCACCAACGTTTGTGGACAATCTAACCTGGCGCGGAGTGTATTAACTTTTTTTTTAAATTATTTATTGAAGCATTGACATTAAACAATTTATTGCGGAATTTTATTCTTATAAATAAAAATGTCATATTCGAAGGATCTTAGACGACATCTCGTTACTCATATTCTTTTCCATGTGCAAAGGTACCTGCGTGACTAAGCTGGAAGAAAGTCATTAGCCCATCTAAGACGAAGATTTATTCTGTATCATACAGAATGAAAATACTACTGATTAAAGTATACCTCGACAACTAAAAACATTTTCTTCATACTAGCCCTTTCGCAGTTGGTGCGTGATAGACCCTGACAATTTGCACAAAAATA